TTTTTTTTTTTTTTTTTTTTTTTAAGGAGACAAACTTAGGTTTCCAGGCTATAGGATTTCCTAACTACTTAAATTTGCCCTTGTGGGAAAGCAGCCACAATACCTAGAAAAACAGGATGGCTATTCCAACAAAATCTTATTTATAAAAATAGGTAGTTGGCTCAGTCTATAACAGGCCAGCCCTTAGAAGTTGACAGCAAAAGGAAGAAATAGAGTAGCAGCTAGAACATGGACTAGGATCAAGTAAAGTTTTATCAGAATAAGATAGATCTGAAAATGTTTTTAGGTAGAAGGGAAAAAACTTTTGAAGGAGAGATTAAACCTGTTTCATGGTTTGAGGTAGTGGGGACCAAGGAAGAGATGGGATCAGGTGTGTATGTCTGAATTAGCCTTAAAAGGAAAGAGGCACACCAGTAACTTCTAAAGTATCAAATATAGAAGTCGTGAAAAAAAATACATTCAGATGGATGGCAGATGAGGGGATATATGAGCATGTGTTTGATTTTCTTGAGAAAATGAAAGGAGAATTGGGAGTGGAAGTGGGCAGGGAGTACCTAGGAGCTTTGAGTGCGGAAAGCATGCTTAAGTGCTGTGGGAGATTCTCTTAGGCGGTGGTTCCCAGTATTTTGAAGATGACAACCTTTTTAACTTCACAACGGTTTGTGAAACCCTCCCCCCACATCACTGTAGTTATGTTTATAGTGCTTGTTAGTTGAGAAAATGCATATTAGCAAAAAGCTGCTGTTTTAGTACTTTCTCACATGACGTTGTATTTTATTAACCCCAGTATCTGCACATTGGAAAAATGTTAATACATATAGGTGTATATTTCTTTATATAACGCATGCCTCTGGGTATCCATTGTGATAGCTAATTGTGCAGCTCCCCGGGAGTCTGAAGCTCATAGTTGGGAAATCATTGTGCTGATAAATCAATAAGCGAATAAAAGGATTACTTAGAAGTAGTATTCAGTTAAAATTGAAACAATATGAACTTGCAGTGAACTCACTTTGAAGGATTACATAACTTTTTCCAGTAATACTTGGCAGCCTGGAGCAAGATTATGGAAACCAAATGATCCAGGGTTAGGTGTACGATGGGTCAAAAGCATTTAGCCTGTTCTTTCTTCAACCCTGACATTGCACCTGGTTTCATCAAACACTAATGTGTTGATAATGATCAGCCACTTTTCTTGAACTCAGGTTGTCCACCTTGCTGATTTTTCCATTGGGGTATCTTATCGTCATTTCAGACTTAACATACTGAAAAGTTTGATAAATTGAAAGGGTTATTTTTCCACAGAAAGAGGAGCAGGTTAACTGGGAAGTGATTAGCAGTTCTCATTTTGCCCTGAGAACTAAGGTTTTTCAGGACAAAATGAAAGAGGTTAATGAGGGGTAGTGAGAATGGGGGTATAGGGTAGCTATATGGAGTGTGAGCCATATGGAAGTGAGGATTCTAGAAGAAAGGGAATGATAGATTTAGTGAGGTATGTTTTACAGGAGAGAAGAAACGAAGGAATATAAAGAGATCTCTAGCAAACAATTTTAGTGTTTTCTGTTATTAGCAGATGATAAGAAGCATGGCTGTTACTGCATTTTTGGAGGAGGGGACATTTGTGTTTATTATTAATTGTGGAATTAACATAACAAAATTAACTATTTTAAAGTGTTCAATTTAGTGGCATTTAGTATATTTACAATGTTATGGAACCATCATGTCTATCTAGTTCCAAAACATTTTTAGAACATTATGGATCTCTTTCTTCCCTCCTCTCCCTGATCCTGGCAACCACTAATCTGCTTTCTGTCTATGGATTTACCTATTCTGGGTATTTCATGTAAATAGAATCATCTAATTAATATGTGACTTTTGTGTCTGGCTTCTTTTACTTAGCATAATGTTTTAGAGGTTTATACATATTGTAGCATGTATCATACTTCATTCCTTTTCAAGGCTGAATAATATTCCATTGTAGTGTTACACCACATTTTGTTTATCCGTTCATCGGTAGATAGACATTTGGGTTGTTTCCACCTTTTGGCTATTATGAATAGTGCTACTGTGAACATTCATGTGTAAGTATCATTTGAATACCTATTTTGGGTATTATTCTAGGCATATACCTCAGAATAGAGTAGCGGAGATTCCTGTTTCACTTTTGAGGAACCACCAGACTGTTTTCCACAGTGGCTGCACCATTATATGCTCCCACCTGCATTGTGTGAGGGTTCCACTTAACTGCATTGCTTTTAACAATGATTTGTGATGTTGTGTATTTCTGTTGTGATGTGCTGGTTTACTCTGTTATTTCTTAGTTTTTTCTCCTAGTATTTTGTTTTTTATACTTTTTACTTATGTTGTCTTATGTTTTTCTAGAATGGCTTTTTTGGTATCACGTTTTTCTTGTATCTTTTCTTCTACTTACAATTTTTAAAGAAACTGATTCTTGTAAGTGTGTATTCTCTTAAAGTTTAGTGTGTTTATGTGTATAAATTTATAACACTTTTTCTGCAACATTAGTAGCATTACTAATGTTTGGTACAAGACCCAAGTAATTCCAAATACTGTACTTCTTGATTCCCTTTGATATTCATTCAGCATATATGCCTCTTATCCATGTTGAAATTTATCCCTTTGCTCCTAGGATGTCTTTTTTGTTCCAACCAAATTGAAACAAATTCTGCAATTCTGCAAATTAACTTGCTTGACTTTTATAAATTCTGACAAATATTCAAATGTATATCTCCTGTTTTATTTCCTTGATCTGCTAATGCCATAATCCTATTTCTTTTCAGTTAATAAACAATATATTCTGCACTGATGTTTATCTGAGTGCGTTGTTACTCTCTAATCATTATTATCCTGTTTGTGAATAGATCTGAGTTCAGTTTATATAATAGTCTTTGGAGAGAAGATTTTTTTCATGATGGTGGAAATTTGTAGAAATTCTGGCATACTTTTGAAATGATGATTATTAAACAGTAGCAGTAGCTGTTTGGTGTGCTGCTCCCCCTTCTCTCCAAACCCCCAAACTATGGCATGTTTAATTTTACTTTTAATGTTTATTTATTTTTGAGAGAGAGC